TCTTTCCTGCATTAGCTTTGTAATGCAGCAAAGGCAAGATGGCACATGAGGCAAATTCCTGAGTGAATATCAAGGGGGTGGGCAAGGGGCTTTAGTAGAGCAGAATGTGTACTGCAACAGATAAAGCCTGTGTGAAGGCTGCTTAGAACAGCATTGATCTCTCTCTGTAAGGCCTAACAAATCTATTGAATAGTTCTTGGATCAGTTAGTGGGGTTGGGGAGACAGCAGTATTCTCAGGCCCAGACAGGTTCCAACACACGTGAAGTCTATTGACCTCTGTTGCTAGAAGACAGAATCCTTGGCTGTAGAATAGATTTGTGCTTGGTCATAATGACATAATAACATTGTACAGCTTTTACTACAAACAGCAGAAAGGATGATATGTCCACATGAAATACGGAGCAGTTTTCCAGTGTGAAGAGGACTCAAAAACCTGCTTAAGTTTTAGAGAGAAATAGGAGGGGTGAATGGATCACAGGGATAGACCTAGATTAGATTGTGACCAATGACAGGCTATGTGTTGAGGAAGATGGAAGGTAGCTTAGAGTCCTCTTTTAAAAAAAAAAAAAAAAAAAAAAAAAAAAAAATAATGTTGCCACAAAAAAGGAAAGGAGAAGGTTTTCCTTTTTCTTTTATGGAGACGTGCAGTTTAGGTACAGACAAAACCAGAGGTGGTTAGTCATGTTAGTCTGAAGTCAGGAGGAAGGAAGGGCAGGGTTCAGCAACCTCAGGGCAAGATCCAGCTTGCCAAGAGATTGGCTGTGGCTTGTGAAGGTCTGATCTCTTCTGTGTTTTATTAATGGTGCTCTGATCCGCTGCTGCTGTTCAGCTGCCAGATCCATTCTGCTGTTTACCAGGAGCCGTCTTATCTCCTCTTGCTGTCCCAGCCCTCCTTGCTTTGTGTAGAGGGTTGCTGTCTTGCCCTCTAATGACGTTTCCCCAAAATGTGCTGCTGAATTAGCCCATCCAAATGCCAGCATGTCTTTTTTGGGGAGGCTTCATTATGGCATGCTGAGAGAGCAGCTGTCAGTACAGAGCACAGATGGCTAGACTTGCAGTAGAGGATTGGCACCCTGCCACTGTGGCTGGGTTGCAAATCCTGGCCTGTGCCTGGGGGTATCTGAAACATTACAAAGACATTTCAAAAGGCTACCTGTAGATATACAGGTGAGATGAAATGCTCCCAAGTGTGACAAAATAGTACCAGGGAGCAGGTACTGATTGTATTGTTTTGTTCCACTGTCCATCTTTGTGGGTTGTCAGTTCTCCAGCATCCCAAAATGCATTGCTTTTCCTACCCTTGTCTGCCCCCAACACACACCCCTCCTTCTGCTCCTAGTGGGGTCCTAGGCTCTCTGCTGTTCAACACTTTAGTCAGTGATCCTGAAATTGATACAACTCTGATGATTCCATTTTTGGACGACCCAAAGATTAGTGGAACGGTAAATGGTGATGAAAGAAAACAGTCATGTAGAGTTGGACTGATTGCTTGGTAATCTGGGTCCAAGTCAAACAAAAAAAAGGTGTTATAAGAACTTGAGTTGAAATGTATTGCATCTAGGACTAAGAAATGCAGGCCATTGCCACAGAACAGGGGACTAGCCTGGAAAGTAATGACTGAAAAGGTTGAGTGATTTTCATGGACAAGTAAGTCAACCAAACAGAAAACTTTTGGCAAAAGAACCATACAAATGATTCAGAGGCTGGAAAAGACTCCCTGTAGTGAGAGTGGAGCTCAGTCTGTTCAGCCTACTAAAATATTAGTGGATGACATGGTTACAGTGTATGTATAATGGAGAGAGAGACTGGTTTCTTATGACTCAAGTGTAGAAAAGCATAAGAAGAACCTAGGGTTGGAAGCTGAAGCCAGGCAGGATCAAATGGCACCTTTGGCTTTCCAGAAATGTAAGTACTAGAGCTGTGGAGTGAGAGCTATCTGTAGCTCCCTGCTTACAATCCAGTGCTGGCACTGTGAGTCTCTCTATTATGTATAGTAATGAGTTAAACTGGCTACCTAATAGTGTGTCCTCATTTTTGTATCCAACTATAAATAAAGTTTGCCTCCTTTCCAACTGCGCCCCTTTTGTGTAGATTTTGTTTTTGTAGTCTTGAGGACATCATCAACATTGGCTAAAGCAGAGAATCCAACCCATCAAACAGAATACAGTGCATAGTAGTGGAAGACCTGCACATTTTGTAGAGTTCATGGAGACCTAAGGATGTATCCCAATCAAAGCAATATAAAAATATCTGAACAATCACACTAGTTAACAAATAAACTCCTTGAAATATAGGTTTGTGTGTCCACTTATTTCACTTGTTCCAGTGACAAAGGGAAAGTGACTTGCAGCTGGCTCACTCAGTATTTTCAGTGGTACATATTCACAGATCCTTCTGGTTGGATCACAGGAAAGTAGGGCTGGAAGGGACCTCACAAGGTCATCTTGTCCGGCCCCCTCCTCAAGGCAGGATCATCCCTGCCTAACTATGGCAAACTACCTCTCTCTAAACCAGGGGTGCTTAATCCCTAGCCCTCAGGCCCCAGCTGGCCTGTGGGACTCCCCATGGGTCTAAAAGGCTTGGCTGTGGGGGGGAACAGTGGCACCATCTGTCCTTACTGCCAAATTCTTGCACCCATGGGGAGCCCTGGGCCATATGCAGTACATCAGGCACCTGATCCCAGTGTGGGGGACAGGGCAGGTGCAGCATCAGGCCCCTGGCTCTGATGCTCATTCCCGTGGATCTGATCCCAGCAGGTGCGAATGGATGGGCATGGGGGTAGAGGGCACAATCCCAGGGCATGGGTCTGGGAGGGGGTTAGCACTGGGCCCAACATGTGGAGCTGGCACAGGGTCCAGTCCTGCTTGCAGAGGGCTGTCACCTAGATTACAAGTAGCCTTGCAGATTGGCTAGTGATAAATGAGGCAAGGAACAGGGCTACAGCCCAACCTTTTATTGCTTGCACCTCAAAACAAGGGGCGGGAGGCAGTGGTGTGTTGTCCGTGGGGCAACTTCAGAGGAAGTTTGCCTCTGACTTCCCCTCTGGGACAGGAACATCGTCTTGACAGCAGGTCTGACTGTACTGCAAGGAATTTATGGTTGGATGAAGCAAAGGCTTCTTCCTCTGCAGCACTTGTGCAAGTGCATAGCTCTACACATCTAGCTTCCTGCTGCATGGCATAGAACTGGTGAGGGAGTCTGGCCCTTACCACATTATCCACTATGGGTCTTTATTCCTACAAGTAGCCATAAATATATATAGTCTAGATACACACACGTGTGTGTGTGTGTGTGTACACATATCTATATAAAGCATTATACATGATACATATAAATTATGTAATATATAATACTTTTTTATTATATGTAATTTAATATCTATTACATGATATGTCCGTATTCATTGTAGTCTCAGGGAAACTGAATTCAAGGCCCAATTAAAATGGATTGAGTTGAAAATGGGAACATGAGGCCTAAGTAGACAATGTGCACCAGTGGTGCCATCTGCTGGTGTATTTTGGGATTAGTTATGCCACAAGTAGTATGTGCAGCCTCTGTGAGGCATGGTAGACGGGGCAGAGAGCAGAAAGCAGAGCAGGAGATCAGGCAGGAGAAGAGGATTGGAGTGGCATCCAAAGAGGGTGCAGGGTGAATTTGTGGCACTCTTCCCAAAAAGGTTGGTCCCTACTGAACTGGAATGATGGAGCTCAGAAAGTCAATTGATTGCCTTCCACTGCCAAAGATGCTTTGTGTTTGCACCTAAAGTTATTTGTGCTTTGTAGAAAGAGAGAAGTCTATATCTGGGGACACTGAGGGTGTTTATACATGGGCTCTGGGAGGTGTGCTGGGGGGGGCGCTTTAATTAGCACAGCTCTGAGAGCTGCACTAATTAAATGTGCCCGGAGCATCATGTGTATCAGCGTCCCCATGCTGAAAAATGGCGGTGGGGCTCTGAACTAAAGTTCCT